CTTAATGGGCCCCCAAATTCTAGATACTAAGGATAAATAAATAAAAACTAAGTACTACATACTCCCTTGACAACGTTCGGCATGTGCGCAGTGTAAATTTTGTGATCAAGTCTTTACTACTCAAACAAGGTCTATAATTATACCCCTGTACATGTACCTCCAAGTTCTTCTATATTCTATTTAATCGTTAACAGTAAATTAGTTGGTTTATGTTAAATTTCCTGTGAAATTGTATTTGGTGTGTGATCTGGAAATTGCATCTACAGAGGTTGAGCAAGGTTTGACGCTGTAGGCCAGAACCATATATAACCGATTTTCTATGCAGTAATAAATTAAACCTCGTCAGCATTGAGATATAGTCCAATTTTTAAGGTCTTATGCAATAAAGTGCAACCAAATTTGCTTCATTCTGCGCATTAAAAAAACGTTGACTTGTTCTCGAAACTCGCTCATATTGGTAGAAAGACCTAGTGAAACGCAATCCAGTTTGTCAACCTTATAGTGTTGTGTCGGCAGGCTGGTGAAGAGTGTTGTTTCTTATTTTTTTATCGCTTTGATATTCCATTGACTCAGTAGCGGTCATAAATTTTGGTTCAGTTGACAGGAGAGAAGGCATATGCATTTTTGGTCGTCCTCCCGATTCCCCTCCTTATTTTCATAAAATCCTAGTTTATCGGCTCTTTATGACCCCTACATTTATTTCTGTAAATTCACTGGTGTACTCCTTACTAAAGCAAATCGGATTCAGTTTGTCCATCACCGCGTTCCAAAACCAGGTGTCAGTTAGTCTTGGCAAGATCTACTCGGTGCACATGCAACTGAGTGAGAAGGGAATTTGCAGCATCAAGTTAGGTTGCCATGCCAATTGAGAATACAGACTTTTGGGGCTTTCTCAGTGAGGCTGGTGTATACGTTCTATCTAAGGTTTGAGACAGAGTGAAGAAGATACCATCTTGAGCAGCACGGAGCAGCGATGGAGAGAAATCAGGCAGATAAGGTAAGGACCCTACGAAGATAGGACCCGAAGGGAGAGATTTCAGATTAAACCGCAGCCTTGGATCAACAAGTGTGAATTGTATGACTTAAACTAGTCGAAGTCACAAAGACCTTACCTAAGCTCCTGACTTTCCAAATGAAGCTATATTCAGGATCATATATTTTCTCATCCTAAGCAGCATATTACTTCATCATATTAATTGTATTTTCGTCTTTTACTGTTGATAAATTAACATATATATATATATATATATATATCATCCTTCCTTTGAGTTGTCCAACTTGGCTCCCAATAAAAATTTTATACACTCCAGTAAAACCTATCAGCTTGAATATGATATTTATCCGAAAAACTCTTCTTCATAACTATTTTACGACTTACAAGGAGGTAATCCTGAATTTAATTGGGAACTTTAGAGTTTTACTTAATTTATTAGTTTTAGGCTTCTTCTATCAATTAATTATTGTGTTCTTGATTCGTCATTCTGTGTATACCTGCCTTAAGTATTATTGTGCAACATAGCTAACACGCTTTTTTTTCATTTATTGGCGCATTCATATATTCTTAACTAGAACTTGGATTCATTATATTATAACTTCCTTGGAAGACTTATGTGAGGCAGTCGTATGCAAGAAAGCTCTCTGCCAACGAAACTGCGATGAACAGAACCTAACAGGTCGTAGATATTAAGATCAAGATGGTATGAACATTTTTGGTTGCATTATCCTTTAGCATTCTAGTATTGGTTCGACCTTGTTTTTTATAACTTGGCCTAAGCTGCAGAGAGACCTTGTGTAACTTACTTATTCCTGTGTCCTTTGCCATTATGCTAAAGATTTCTGCCATCGGACAATTGACATGGTACATTCGTAAACGTTTCGCTGGCATCGTCAGTTAGAGGTACCATCATCAGCACAGAGTTACAACTTATCAAAGGTACAAGCGTAGACAATCAGCTAGATAAATTTTCTGTTCAACTTTTGTGGCATCACTTTTCGCTGCTATTTTATGTTCTACCTTCTAGTGTTACATCACATTCTATCAACCCTATTTCATATGCCCATCTATCTATTTACACGATCTCACCTAAGAGTTTGTCTACAAGTATGTTTACTTATATACAATAATCTTACCACTGGTACTAGGAAGCGTATACAGGGCTCCTGAACTTCATTTTCCCTCCCTTCTCTTACCCCGTTTATCAATTGTTCGCTGCTAAGCATCAAAATCATTAAGCGACTGTGTGAAATATGGCTGCCTAAAAACCTTCAATTCCCGTCCGCAATTACGATATATTCGAGGATTTAGTGCAGAAGATGCTAATGTCCATGCCAATGTCTGGGAATCTTTATTTTCCTAGGCTTCAAACTCATGACTCAGTTATCCTCATTCACATTGTGTCTCATTCTTTGGCCCTGTGTCCGGCTTAAGCCATAACGGCTGGTGTGTAAATGCACCACTTTCCGTTTTGTCCCCTTGAAGTGTGAAAATCACACTCTTCTCATCCTTCCAGTTGGCACTCTTATCTAATCCTAGGGAAATAGGATGTTCATGTAGGAAATGTTTCTGAGGTTACCAGCCCACACGCACTGGCTATATTCTGCATACGCCAAAACATTATGACATTTTTATTCAATATATGGACAATAATAGTCTAAAATATATAAGCTATATTAATTATATTTAGTTGAATATATCGACAGTGATATGAATATTTCATATGCTTACCGTAAATTTAAAATACCATTGATCTATAAAAAGTAGTGCTGATGCCCCTTAGGTCTCATTAACATCAATAGCCTGAATAAAACACTACGAGTAAGGCGTATAATCCCTATCTGTTAACCATTATGACATTATATAAAGCAAATTTCAAGGAAGCCTTTGTTTGAACTATATCACAATTCTTTGATGGGATAGTCGACGCATCAAAGATGCATATACTGTAGTATTAAGCGACATTACTTGTTTTATTTCTATAAGTAGGTTTCAGAGACTACCTGTCATAGATTCGAAATTATGTAAATAAGCGCAATAGATGCGAATGAAACGATAACTAGTAGGTTCATTGTACGTGGTTCTACTCATTAATGTGGTTCTAGAAGTAAAGGCTTGATCACAAAATTTATTCAGCGCATATGCCGGACGGTGATGATGAAACTGATAATATTAAGTTTGTTTTAGATCCATCTTAAGAATCTAGACTTTGGAGGCCTGTTAGGTAGAGCTTTAGTATAAGTGTCATTTAACGTTTAAGGATAACTGCATTACATAAAGCCTTGAAAGTGTATAAGGAAGATATAATCAGAAGATGACTGCTGAATTGCGTTATGCTGCAGCAATTTGGCTTCGATACGACGTTCAAGTTGACTAAGTCCAAAATACATCCTCCCTCACGTAGGACGAAAACGCATAAGGCGCGCGCGTCCATCCTATGATGGACATCCTTAGAGCTGAAACTTATTCCTGTAAAAGTTTCACGTTGACACTAAGTCATGAAGACTATTCGGCTCTATCATACCATTTATATATACTCATAGCTAGAAAGGAAAATGAGTAGGCATAGATAGATAAAGGATGGTTTGACTAATTATCTTTCGTCCTTGTCCTGCTAATTTGTTCGAGTGTTTGTGTGCGTTAACGTCTATGCGCAATACCAGCATAAGTCAGAATGAAAAAGACTAATGACAGGCTCTTGTCATCAAGACTTAGCGACCCAAGAATAAAAAAATGACCGAGACTGCGTAAGTCCATAAGCAACTATGTTTGAGATAATGAGATTTAAGGTTGTAAGCCTGTGAATAAGGTTACGAAACCACCTGTAATAACCTCTAATCTAAGGTCGTTAAGATTTAACCACCTAAGAAAACTCATGCCTTCCCTTCCATAAAAGAGTGGTTGTTGACCTACCTAATAATTTTTTTATATCTTAAATTTACCTTTAAATAATTTGCTAAATATAAATAATCGCCAATACTTAACCTCTTTTTATGAATCCAACACAGTATTTGACACTATTATTTAATTTTCGTATTAGAGTAGAGTTTTGATGCATACATCTCCATATTTCACGCTAAGTATGAGTATTCTCAATAATATATACTTAAAGGAAACACATTATTAGGTAAATGGAGATAAATTAGCTAATAATGCGATATTTTAAGTGCTTGATATTTATGCAATATTTTATGCCACTTTTTTTATTTTACCATATGAACGAAATGGCTGATAATACGATAAAAGTATCGTTAATAAATAATAAAGAATAATAAATAATATAGATAACAATTGTATTAATAATAATCATTACCTCTGTATTCTCCAGTGCCTGCATTTTGCGCGCAAGATGACCGGCTTTTTGTCCAAGCACTTTACACTTTCCCTTTGCCTTGGTGCTATTTCTGGCTTTGCATTATACTCGCTATATTCAAAAGCTAGATTACGTCGGATTAAAAATGAGTCTTTGCCTTACTCTTCCAAATCTGATGATCCCTTACGACCTAATTGTAATAAGTGTTGTCGTAAATGTGTGTGCGAGCTTCTTCAACTTTTGCAAAGTTACTCTAAGGTGGCGTCATCCAAAATTTTATTATTTAGGGTGTATCCGACGTATCTATTTACATGGGTGATATTGAAGGTGTTAGGGAAAAACTTTCTTGCCTTGTTTCTTCTGGGTATTCTGGGATACAAGTCCGTT